CATCCTTCCCATCATCATCATCATCTCATCACATTCAGTGGGCAATCTTCATTGGGATGTCATCTTCTATGTACTCAGTAGTAACATCATTCTCAAGGAATTAGTTGTTTGTATATTTATCATTCAGTCACATGATTACACTGACCCTTATCTATTTTTCTTTCCCATAAAACGTTAAATGTTTCTATATAACTTTTTTACTCTGACTTCAAATCTGAAAACCGTTTTGCTCCATCACATCGCGTTCTACAGAGAAAGAAAGAAAAAGAGATCACGATTAAAACAATGCAATTTATTAGGTCCCTGTGTAAATATTTGCAATTTTTGCTACAGATACTGTAAACTTATACAGTACATCACATCAGATGATAAAAAATATGTGCTAGTGGAATGATATCAACAATAACATGGCCCATCTCGGTCATGAACATGAAGTCAAGAACTGAACTTGCGTCTCTTCATCCATGCATGAAAACGTGTTTAAAATATAAAAATTTACTGCCCTCAATTCCTATTGCCTATTACAGAGAGTTGAAATAAACTGATGACAGCATCTGTAATGTCTTAATAGGAATAAAATGTAATGATTAAAAGTGGAAATTTGTGGAAACGCGAAAGTCGTTGCAATCTTCCCAACTAGATCCACAAGTCGGTAGCACAAAATTCTGCTGTTTCCTCTGCAAGTGGAATAGTCGGCATGGAGATGCAGACACTGTTAAAATAAAACTAGGCCCATTAGTTTTTGCATGAAATCTGGTCAAAAAATATTTTGCATGAGTCACTGATTGTCACAAAGACATCATTGTACCACTGTTACAAAGCATGTTGGGTCTGATGAAGAATTTTGTAAAAAAAAATGTTTGCTCAAATCTCTACACATCTCCGTTCCATCTACGCTTCTGCAAATCAATGATGCTAAAATAAAAAATGATACGTTTGTCGGCTCTCAGATCCGAAAACTAACAAGGGATGAACGTTTTCAAGACCTACAAAATGAAAAAATTCTTGGGACATGGGAAGTGTTCAAATCTTTCGTTGCCAACTTCTTGTAAAATAATAAGTATAGGGTCTTGAACATGCCTTCCAATGTTTTCCATAAAATGGGATGTAACATTTTCTTTAAAATTCATTTTCTTGATTCACTTTTCTTTGAATGTCCTGGTAAAGTCAGTGCTGAACATGGGAAGGGTGTAAACAGGAAATCACTTCAATGGAATCACACTACCAGGAACAGTTGAGTAGGCTATGTTTGCAGATTACTGCTGGCTCAGAAGCCTCAGAAGTTGAACATTGTCAAACGTCTGCATACAAAACTCTCAAGCCTCTTTCATTAACTTTATGTTATAATTTCAATCAACATATTTTGTTTTAATGACCAATAGAAATGTTTTTAAATATTATTTGCTACTCATTAGAAATGAAATGACATTTCTTGACTAACGAAAGTCTCGATAGAATTTATTTTATATTTTAATGACCATATAACGAGTGTAGCAATATCTGATGAAAGTTAGTAAAACTTCATATGACGTTTCCTCAAAAATTTGTTGTGATACAAACAAGCGGATTACAGATTTGAAATCAGCATGGTAAAATTAACTAGAAATACATCCACTCATTAAAGAAAGTAAAAATGACATCTTTTGTATGTCAGTATGTTAATATTACATCAATCATTTTAATGTTACATTAATTATGTTAGTATTACATTAACTATGTTAATATTACGTCAATCATTTCAATATTTCATTAATTATGATTATGAAATTTAGTATTAGAAATACTTTTGCTTCAATAAAAACTGACGATCAATTAACCTGAACACAAAAGTGAAAATAATTTTCCATACTGTACAGAATTCGTCGATAATAGTGTCTTTCAAATCGACATTCGTCAACAACATGAAAACCGGATTGGTCGGTTCCATATCGGTATTGATCGGTGTGATCATGCTCTTCACCAACATCAGCCACACACCGACAGTCATCTGGTTCTTTAGGAACTGCGTGCCTGATCTCGTAGCTATTTCATTATTTAAATTTAATAAAATATTATATATATTTATATATATATTCTATAATATTCTAAGTGTATTTAACATATAAAAAAATCGGCTAATGGAGGCAAATTTTGATTATGGTCGCTTATTCGGACCATGAAGAAAGGAAAAATAGGCATAATTAAACTGCCAGCATGGCTGCCATGAAATGTTGGGAGGTGACCAGGAAATTCGTGTTTTTTTTTCTTATTTTATCTATACGTTAATTTTATAAGTTGAAACGTGATACTTTATTTAGAGTGTATGTAGTCTTCATGCTCTGGAAAAGGTGGGAGAAGGAGCGTTATTTGGCATGTGCTTCCAAATTTAAGGGGAGGGGCTTTTAAAAATAGGCTTATAAAATAGTGAATGATGTAATTGTAATGTAATTTAAACCACGTTATCTGACCCGGGCTTCAAAATGTTTGAATGCTGTGCAAATAATTAAATAAAATATATAAAAAAACAGTCGAGCAAGTTGAAATTGGATCCATGTTTATTGAATATCTTGATCAATGTGTCGGCCACTTACTCCTTCCTCTTTCCAATCTCCAGCACGCACTGCTTGATCTGCTACCTGTCCGGAGGGATCACTAAGAAGGATATGGTGAGTCTTCACAGGCTTTCTAACGTCTCCTCGTTTATTTATTTCTTCAATTTGTTTTTTGATATTTCTCAGGAGTATCAACTAAAAAAACATTCTGTATGTAAGGTAAGTACACATGAATAACGCATCACACACTCTATGTAAGTGATAGGTGATCTCTACATTCGAATGCGGTAATAACAACAACGGTGTCATGCACCTCAACCATTACACCATTCAGCTGATCATTCAAGTGCGCCAATTATATTTTATAACGCCCATCGTATTCTTCCCATAAAAAAACTTTACTGGAAGCCAAAAAAGCCTTGACGTCAGGCATTCGTTGTGGTTAGTAGAGGAAACTTCAAAATAATGTTATCTGCAGCAACTAAGATTCAGTATAATGATTTCAAAAGATTTTTAAAAAATTGTTTTTTAAGATAATATTAGTTATAACACCGTTGATGATTTCGTTTTCAGTTTGCGAACGGAGCAGTTATTATGACAGTATGTTTCGTAACATTTTTCGCCAGTTTCGCTCAACTGATTCAATTCTTCGGATTAGAATATTATTCACCTAAGTACGAAGATGAACCTGCCAAGAATGGCAGCTTGTGTGTCTTGAAGTTTGGGCTCAGGAAATTTTTGTGACAAACTACTTTTGAAAAAAATCAGATACTTTATTATAAAGCGCTGCATAATGAGCACTTGCAGTTGTTTTTTTTTTAATTTCTCATAACCAAATATTTAATCGATTATTAATTATTTGGCTTGAGTGGTTTCTATTGTTTCGTGAAATTATTTGAAAGTGTGCTTCCTATTTATTTAATAAATGTTAGGTAATCTCGGAGACGGCAAAGTGGTTTTTCCAGAAATATTTATTTATAGTCAACAGTTTAAAGAGACTCATAAGCTCCACCCACGGTGCAACTAATAAACTAAATACAGCCTGCATGTTCGTTGGTTAGCGACAGTATAATGTAAACAGCCGAAATACTAAAAAAAGGAAAACTGTTTTTTGAGTAATTATTTTTAAAATGTTATTGAATTTAAAAAAAATAAATAAAATGTAAAACGCTTGACAATGCAATCTACCCTTAAACGATTTTGAATCAAAATATAACCTGAATTTTATGCTTTGTACCATATAATTAGAATAAATATAACGGCCTTCGCTCATTTTTGACGGTCGAACAAAGGAGCTTACTTCCGGAGGAAAATTGGAGAGTGATTTTTTATCGCCTAAGTCAAAAGTTACGATCGTATATTTACTAATTTCGGAATATTGCTTTTATTTAAAATTTCAAAATGTTTTAAAAGGTGATACTAGATGCTGTTTTGGGATAGATATTGCTGTATGACGGTTAAGTATCTTTTTGCATTTTAAATAAAAAAAATTTTTTGTGAACCACCAACAACACAACAACACTAAACGACGACTAATTAGTAATAAATTACTAAACTCTAATAATTAAACTAAAACTAATCTCTACTGATTCTAATTACTAATTGAAATAAATAACAGATAACACTAACGAACATTAACAGATTAGACTACTAGAAACTACCAACCACTACACTAATTGACTAATACATACTACTACTACACTAACGACTAACAGCACTTGTTCCTAAGATCCTAAATTCTATTGCTTGATTGGTTTTAAAATTTTTATTTACAATGCTTAGGTCTGGGAATAAAAAATATACTAAATTAAATAAATATATTAAACAACTTACCAATCAATTTTATAAAATAAACAATTTTGTAATTTGTTCAATTCAAGCTTCAAACTCCCCAAGCTAACTTGCAATTTAATTAAAATTTATTAATTATGAGAGATTCAAACTAAATTTTTTTTTATTTAATGTTTTACAAAATATTCCTCATTCTTAAATTGTAGTACATGTTGTTATTAAATTTATTAAAGATAATGTGTGATTCCAGTGATTCATCAATCCATGACTTGTTAGATCATGATCATTCAGTTTTAAAGAATCCCCATCACCATAACCAATGAGGTTTGTAAAAATTGTACTTTTAATTTATTATATTTTATGCACTTAGAATGTTGTGTTATTAATTATTATCATTAATTTATTAAATGCTGTGCATAACTATGGCAAGTAAATAAAATAATTAAGCATAGAAATAGCCACAATCTAATTAATTTATATAGGCATGAGTATAATTTGGATAATAATAATTAAAAATATCGGTATCATTGAAAATGGATAAAGTCATAAATAAAAAATAAATCATAAATTGCTAAAAATAATAGTTCCAGTAAGATTTTGCCTTTCACCTACATCTTTTTTTCATTCTTATATTATAATAAATGTTTGTTATCAAATATATCAAGGATTGATTTCTCAATCCATGACTAGATTGAATGTCATGACCCTACAAGTTCCAGAGGATCCCCATCACCATTAGTCAATAAGGTTTGTAGAAATCATCCCAGGCATACCATCAATGTTTTGTAGCCACCTTTTAATGTAGTGTTAATAAAATGACATTGAGAATAGTTATTTAAAACAATCTTATTAAAATTATTGAACAGGTATGACAAGATTACTTTCTTAATGTCCTAGTGTGAGGAAGATGTAAGCCATTTGTCCAAAGATAATCATATGCCTTATGCCCATACAAATGCAGTGTCAACGCGAATGATTGTTGATCAGAGTCATATGTTCTAATTTTTTTAAACTTTTCCAGAAATTTTTCTGTTAATTTATTTGTTACATTAAATACTTGATGTGTGTTTCATATAAAAACTTGATTATGCCAATTTAGTTAACTTGTTAAGCATTAATATAAAATTGACTCTACTTGTAATGGTGATTGGTATGATGATGATGATCCCAGTCCTAAACAGGGTTTATTATTCACAATGTCATTATGCCCTTTCTAAGTTTTAATAAAATACATGGAATATTGGTGAATGCATTTTATATTTTTTGTATAGATAATGTTGCAATGTACAATGATGATGTGAATTGCTTCCTTGTGTGACTGATGACATATAAATATAACTAACTTGAAAACATGGTAACGCTTTCTTCAGCATTACCTTCCTTTCTCCATCATAACCCTTATAATCTTTATTACAGAAATGGTCACTGCATATTCTTGCATTTTTTGATGGAAGCCATTTGAAATCATTTATTTCCTGTCTGATGCACTTAATCCAATCGTTTTGCATTTTTACATTTTGAGGAAATCTGAAATTTTATAAACTGTTACAGAAACTTGTGCATTTCTTAAGTATTGCTTTTAATAACAAAATGGTAATCCATGATAAATTATAATAGTCTATAAAATAAAATATATGTAACTGTAAAACAAAATAGTTCTATTCAACGAGTATAGGGATATTGTTACATTTATTTTAGTGTGAAGTTAATTTGAAAATAAACCTGTGAAAAGATGCATCAGAAATTTTTTCATTTCTATTTATTATTAATGCAATTTTTAATGCAACAGGTAGGCATGTTTGTGTATAGCTACGAAAATGAAAATTTACTTAAAAACTAAATTATTGTATCTGACACGAAAATTAGTACAGAAACAAAAACGAAAGAATAAATGACAATATAAAAATTTAAACATTGATTGAAAGAGTTTATTCTAATTATATGGTATGGGCAATTCGTTGCGAAATCGTTGGAGAAAATGGTGTCAACAGTAGTTATTTTACTGCATGGTAGTTAATCAGCCGGTATAAAGGTTATATTCAATTCCTATCAAATAAATTTGACAAAATATACACAGGCAGAACTAAATAAAGAAATAGACATGTAGTTATAATACATTTATAATGTTTATAATAATACAATTGTGTTATGGTGTAGTCTCAAATTATTTTAAATTCTCAAAAAATTTTAAACTTTTTACTACAGTATATATACTAGTTATTTTTATCAACAATTTAAAAATTTTATCAATAATTAAAAAAAAATTTCAAATTGATTTCATTGCGATATCACTAATGATTTTTGTGACTGATTAAAAACCATCAAAGAAAGTTAAAATAGGATGGAGAATTAGTTATATTGGGATATTCGTTTAAAAAGCGAGCAAAATTTTAATATAAAAGCGCTTATAAATCTATGCATATTGACTCAGCTTGGCTTGGCTCGGCTTGGAATCGGATGTTAAGCAAGGTGTGGTCTTAAACTATTTTGAATTCTCCCCGAAAAATTTGAACTGCGTGCGTACATATATAGTAATGGCTACTGTTGTTTTTTATAATGAATTTATGCATATTGGCTCAGCTTGGCTTGGCTCGGCTTGGAATTGGATGTTAAGCAAGGTGTGGTCTCAAACAATTTTGAATTCTCCCCGAAAAATTTGAGCTGCGTGCTTACATACATAGCACTGATTACTGTTGCTTTTATAATGAATTTTTATTATATATATATATATAAAGTGACTGAAATTCATGTATACAAATAATTAAATTATATTATATTAGATTATGTTTATATGAAAAGCAATATAGCAGATTCAACCAGCCAACCAAGTTTCGAAGGCGTTCGTTCGATGACTTCAATTTAGTACGGTTAGCATTTTGGTTAAGACTGTATAATAGTGTAGTACATACATTAAATAAGTTTTTTATTGATGTGAATGATTGAAATGATGAAAATGTATGGTTGAAACGAGTATAAATAGGAGCTGAAAAAACGTTGAAATCAGATCAGGCATTTCTGCCTCGCTCGAGTCGGAGTGCCTGATCTCAATTTTTTATATTTATATTTTTTTAATTTATTTTTTTTTATTTATTTTTATTTTATATAGAGTTATATAGAGTTTGCATGTCTGTGGTTTGTGTGTTTGTATATTGTATTTTTTTATATTTTAGGTGGGTTCTTTAGCGGTTGCTCATACATACATACATACATCATGTTTGTTTGTGTGGTAGTATTTTATGTTCTGTTTTACTCCTTTTTCTCTTTCTTCATGAGCCTTGAGTTAAGTTAATGAAGCATAGGTAGGTGAGGTAAAAATTAATTTATTATATAGGTAGACTAGGGCATAAGGTAATTTAGTTACATAGGTAGGTTAGGGACTCCTATTCTTTTACTCTACTTGGTGGTGTGATTTTTGTTTTATGTTTTTTTTTGTTTTGTTTCACATCCTACATTCAGCAGGTACGCGATGGTTCCTGGTTTTAGTGGGATTTTTATTGATTGAATGTGGTAGTATGCATGGTTATATAGAGTTATATAGAGTTATATAGAGTTATATAGAGTTATATAGAGTTATATAGAGTTATATAGAGTTATATAGAGTTATATAGAGTTATATAGAGTTATATAGAGTTATATAGAGTTATATAGAGTTATATAGAGTTATATAGAGTTATATAGAGTTATATAGAGTTATATAGAGTTATATAGAGTTATATAGAGTTATATAGAGTTATATAGAGTTATATAGAGTTATATAGAGTTATATAGAGTTATATAGAGTTATATAGAGTTATATAGAGTTATATAGAGTTATATAGAGTTATATAGAGTTATATAGAGTTATATAGAGTTATATAGAGTTATATAGAGTTATATAGAGTTATATAGAGTTATATAGAGTTATATAGAGCATAAATCCTATATAGATACCGTTCTTTGCGGTTCTTTTCTTTGCCGACCGGTCGGCTTCTTTGCGTTTCTCTGATAAGATAAATAAGATTTGTCCATTCATCTAGGTTCATTCAGGTTCATTCATTCAGGTTATAGCTTCCAGAGGAGTTCGTCGTGGAGGATCAGAATGGTTGTGATGTCACCCTACGTTCAACCTTAACCCTAACTTCCGACTTTACGGTTTCTTAA